TTTTGCAATCAGGAACTACAATGTTTGACTTATCGGTAAAAACACCTACGTGCGTAGGGAAACTGATGGTACATAGGTACGTTGTTTCTAAACTGAGCCAAAAGTTGTAGCTCCTGATTGCAAAATGAAGTACAATTTAAATACAGTCTTTTGGTGAAAAATTTAGTTGAAATGGAAAATCAAGTCATGACAGTCGCCGAAAAAAAGGAGGCACGCTGAGAAACAGGAGGCACGCTGAGAAACATTTTCTAGTCAATAATTCCCAGACGAGAACTCTTTTTGAGTCAACCGGAATTCTAATGAAAGTGACAGGACGTCTCTACGCAATAATAGTAAAGCCGTTTGAAACAAAAGGATCATCTGTTGACACAACCAGAATTCTTGACCGGAAGGTATCAATCGGAATTTCCGTTTTCCAACAAACAATTTCTCGCCGTGCATTTAATTCATACTTTTCATTAATTTGTTTTTATTTATTTTTTTTAAAGAAAAAGTGATCAATAGTATTTCATCTGATGGTATCGAAGTCTTCTGATACATAATCACTTCATTTTCGGAAAAATTTATCATGAATCAGCCAACTGCATTCCAAGTTCCCTAACTTCCTCTCAATTCTCGTGCCCTCCTCTCTAAAGATGAACTTCAAATTTAGCGCCACAAGTGTTGGAAAAATTGGCACATTGCGTTTGTATTTTTCGCCTTAGCAAAATTTTAACGAGGAGACCTTTAAGGCCCAGTTACACGATCAAATTGAGCCATCAAATTGGGCCTCTCATTGGTCGCATTCAGAATGCGACCAATGAGAGGACCAATTTTATGGCTCAATTTGATCGTGTAACTGGACCATTACGTTAGTAGTGCTGTTCAGTTCATGCATCCGATGATCCGACCCACCGTTAAACGCTTCTCTCCCGAAACGGGTTTGCTGTACAAAAGAGACACGCCCAACTGAGTTGACTTTTTCTCAGAAAGTCGCCCTAAAATAAAACTGAGCATATCGTGAATGTCTAAAATACACTCCAAAACGTACACTCTACGTGGTGTGTATGACGTGTTCTAAAATTGTCTGCGTCGACTGGCACCATTTTCCTTGTCATCGGCAATCGGTTTTGCGGAAAGAGAGAAACGTAAATAAACTAACCATCTCGCAAATTTTATAAATTTTGTTATACTCTGTTTTAATCTCACTTATGATTTAAATTAATTTTAGGTATTTGATCTTGCCTCCTGTTTCCTCATCTCAACATGGAGAAACAAATGCTTTGTAAGGAATGAAATGATACGTGAGCAAGAGAGATAAAACAAATCGTGAGATTTTTCGTTTATTCAAGCTAGGTTTGTGCTTCTTTCTTGGATCACTTCCAAAATATGTCCGCTTGGTTTTAGTATACTATGTCTGCAATAGACCCATTCCAAGAAGAAAACACCCCTTTTAAACGAACTGCATAGTTTAGAAGGCGTCTCTCTTTTTAGAGAGCTAAATTCTCAGTCGATGGAACAAACCATTTAGGCTGAAAGAATTGAATTTCAGTTCATTGAAAGTTCAGTTCAACGAACTCACCGAAGAACTGGTTATTATTGGATATGTTCCATGTGAACCCAAGTTGTCCCTTCGTAGACCTGAAAGTCACTTCTGTCAACTGGAGCGGTCATATCTATGGACTGAAGCATCGGTCCCTGGAACCGAAAAGTGCCTGCTGCGTTATTATCATAAATGATGTTTTTTTCTTACTCTGTGTGAGTTCTTTTCAAACAAATTCACTGTAAACTGAGTGGACATTTTCGAGAGACATTGCAAGGAAATTGTGAAATGAAAATTGAAGAAATGTCTGGAATACATGTCACGCAATGACGTGCATTTAAAGGATGATTTGAACCGCGTTAAACAGAAAGGAACCAAGCGACATAAGGTATTGCCAAATTTAACTGGGCAATTTAATTTTTTACACGAAAACGGTCGTGCGGATTTTCGTGCAAATTTCAGTGCATTTTCTCCGTGGTGCGAAGCAAATTCCTAAAAATTTTCAAAGGAATCCGCATAAACGTTCTCTTGTTATTTTAATTGCCCCATTAAATACGGCAATAGCTGACGTGGCTTGGTTCCTTTCTGTTAAACGCGGTCCATTCGAAGGATGATTTTTTTACTCCGAGTGAGTTTCTTTCAAAACAAAATCATCAACCGAGAAGACATTATCGAGGGAAAATCGCAGGAAAATCACGTTACTTAACCACGTTGGAAATGCCTGAAATACACTTTACACAACGGTGTACTTTTAAAGGCCAAACCCTAATGCATCAGGATTTGGCCTTTAAATGCTCTGTACGTAAAATAACAAGGAGACCTTCTAATTAAGCCCCGTAAATCAGACCTTCAAGCACACAATCTCCTCTCCGCGGTGAACGGGCCATGTTCTCGGCGTAGTCGGGCTCCGAAACCGATTTCGGGGCGATCGAAAGTGGGTTAAAAGCTGTGGCGTTTGAGGGATATCCCTTCCCGGGCGTTACGCAAGGGCGCGGCTTTACATAAGAGCATCGCGTGTTGCGTCGCCAGAGCCGGGTTCGCTCCACATAACTTAATTAGATCATATGGACGTATTTCTGCCCAACGGAACTAAGTGCATTATGACGTGAGCCGTGTTATGCATGTATTCTTATGGGTCTCAGGGCTCATGTCTTAATGCACGTAGTTCCGTTCGGCAGAAATACGTCCGTATGAGCCCGACTCCGATTCCGACTCGGCTATTGTCTTATTTTCGTCGGCATCGGTCGGGTCGTTTCGTTCGATCGTCTCCGTCTGTCCGATCACTCGAGGAGTCATGATTCTCAGCCGCGGTTTTGCAACCGGAGCGGCTTCTGTAGCTCTGTCCGGACGCCGGCGCCGGTCGCCGCAATGGACCACTAGACAAGGTACGCATTTCAGCATTCTGATACATGTTTCTTAACTATAATTTCACGTAGATTACGATAAGCACAACAAAAATTACCGAATTCAATTCCTTACGAAGATATTTAATGATTCTTGATGCGTGAATTCAAACCACCCGCTCATGAAAACTCAATGCTCTACGTGATTCACATCGCGCGCTAAACGTTTATCATGACAGTCTCTGCGATATAAAAATCTGGCAACCTCAATCTTAACGCTTTGGCTCAGCTATAGCATATTGCTTATAGTTTGAACAACACATGATGGGAAATGAACATTGCTCGATAGAGAAGATTGCCGAAACCGTTGTAGTGCGCGATTTGACTCACGTAGAGCTTTGAGTTTCTTGTGAGCGGGCAGTTCAAATTTCTCGTAACCAATGTGAAATAAAAACGTTAATATCTTCGTTAGGAGTTGGTTTCAGTAATTTTCGTTGCGCGAGTCGTGTTCTACGTGAAATTCAGGTTAAGAAACATGTATCAGAATCCTTTAACTCGTACCTTGTCTAGTGGTCCATTCATCTTCGATCGTACGCGGGGCGCCAGAGTGGATTTGTTGAAAGCCAACCAGTAGTGGAGTCTGGGCCGCCCTTTAGCCGAAAAACATCCCCAGATAACCGTCATTTTTCGTGATTTTAAGACATTTTTCCTATCAGGAATCCTCTCCCCAACTAGAAGTTTGGACAAAAGAACCCCCCTTGAATGCATCTATGCAGTATTTTTCTATGCAACTTTTCAACTGCACGCGGGGCTCCAGTGCGGGTTTGATGAAGGCCAGACAGTGGCGAGGTCTGGACAGTCCTTTGGCCGAGAAATGGACGTATTTCTGCCTAACGGAACTATGTGCATTACGACATGAGCTCTGAGACCCATGAGAATAAATGCATAATAGTTCACATAGTTCCGTTCGGCTGAAATACGTCCAAATATCCCTGGAAAACCGTAATTTTTCATGTTTTCAGATTTTTGTTTACCCCTAGGACCGTTTCTCCCTCTCTTTCCCTGTGTGAGAAATTTCCGACCAAAAAACCCCCCGTGAATGCATCCATGCAGTATTTAACGATGTAGCTCTTCAATCGTAAGGGCTCCAAAGCGGATTTGTTGAAGGCCAGCCAGGGCCAGTGGCGAAGTCTGGACCGCCCTTTGGCCGAAGAATTATCCCTCGAAAACCGTCATATTCGAGATTTCCAAACATTTTTGATATCTGGAACCCATTCTCTCCGCCCCTCCTCCCATGAGAATCCTTTGACAAGGAAGCTCGCGTGAATGTATCTATGCAGCATTTTAGTATGGTGCTTTCCGGAGACTTCAACGAAAGTATAGGAAAGTGAGACAATTATTAAATTCTGACCCAGTTTGACTACATTTGCAATAAGGAGCCACCATTTCTAGCAACCATTGTTAATATTGCATTTCTTAAATCAAAATTGAGAATATTTTACTCCCTCATCGTGCCTAGAGTGAAATCTGGGTATGAGGAAACATATCCTGTGATGCTCGGTCCCCATAGCCTGTATTCTTGTCAAGCGGATCTAGATCTGGATCATCGTAAGTCGCCGTCTTACCTTTCTATCCTTTCGTTAAAGTCTCCAAAGAATGTTATCAACGTAAGCTAGAAGTCTCTCTCTCACCGGAAGGTCACACATAATAGCCAGGTCACCGACGAGTTGCTTATGAAGTAGTCAAAGACGAAGTTGCCAAATTTGGAGGAAAAACGTGTGAGCTTTGCATGGAGTTACGCGAGAAATGAGCCATAACTATGCAGAGTTTGGCAACTATGTACCAGGAGGGAACTTGTGAAGCGGATCATCATAAGTCGGCGTCTTACTTTTCTATCTTTTCGTTAAAGTCTCCAAAGGAGGTAGGAACGCAATATAGAGTCTCTCGTTTTGCGGAAGGTCACGATAGTCGGGTCACCGGTAAGTTGCCAATGAAGTAGTGAAAGACAAAGTTGCCAGATTTTGTTCATAAATTCGTACAATTTGCATGAAGTGCCTCCGGAAAATGAGCTTAAGTTAAGCGCAACCCATAGTAATTATTCTAAAGGCGGAAAAAGGGAAAAGTGGTATACTCACGTGAGGAAGCTCGGTGTAGTTGATGCTGCCGGTGCTGTTGGGCTCGGCGGCCCACATGCGGAGCTTGTCTTTGAAGAGGCCGTCGGATTTGCGCAAGGTCAGCTCAAGGTCGCGCCCGAAAGCCTGCAGTTTCATGACCCTCGACTTGTCCTCCTCCGGCCGGACCCCCGCCCCCCGCCGCCGCCGGATCGATCTCACTTTGACCACCTCGTACTCCGGAACTGCAACACACACACACACCACACATATTATACACAATTTCTCACGCACACAACGACGACAGCTTCCGACTTCAGATTACGTTATCCCCTCCCTCCCTCTCTCCTTCATCGTCAGCGGCGCCTGAGTTCAAGATTTGCCGCCACCGGCGGGGCAGCTTTTTCTGCCGCACAGTTGCCAGTTCTCGCTGAAAATTAACATACACCATATGACTAGATGAAAAAAATAGCACTATCTGGCAACAGTTTTCTGTCATTCGCTCTGTCCTCTTATCATTTCGCTGTCTTTTGGCGAGCTTGACAGTGACAAGTTGACCGGTACTTTTTTGCCGGTCGCTTGGATGTGTTTAGTCAGAATCAGCCTAATTGACTCGTACGTTGCCTGCTTTCTTCTTATATTTTATTTCTTGGATGGAGAACGATACAGATCAAAGCTTTGAAAGGAGGGGTATCGATAAAGGGCCGTTTTGGGGTTCTCTCTCGCTGAAATTCCTTAACTCAACGATTTTTTGCTCATTGAAGTTACGAAATGCATCATAGTTTGATTATTTCCGGGTTCTAGTCAGATCTAATACTGGCCTGAACATGGATCTGAAGGCTGATTTTGGCAAAAAAAAATCAGATTTCTTAACATTTGACCGCAAACCCGCACTTTTCACCAAAATTCGGCCTCTAAACTCATGTTTTGGCCAGCGGGCCGATCATTGAAATCTATAGACAAAGCTACAGACAAAGAAGACAAAAGGGATATGGAAGGATCCTATTGGTGGAAGCGGGTGGTTGCAATGGACATGGGAGGTATGTAATAGATTAACTGACGTCAACCTTGGAGAAACCCTATATAGTACACTATGGGGTCTTTTATTACAATTAATATTAATTCTTACAAAATTATAAATCTAGACGTTGCTTACTTCTCTTTTGAAAAAAAAACTGTATAAATAAGAAAAAATAAAATAAAATAGTAATCATGTTAGAAGATCTGGCAACATCTGATGCATTTAGATTGATTCTGGAATCTGTTTGTTAAAAACATCTTTCATTTAACTCAAATGTTTTTGTCTCGATCTCATTTGTCCTATTAGTTATGATGCAACCATTTTGGCAGAGAATGTTAAATTTTACATCCTGACCATTTTTGACATAAAAAATGCTAATTATGTGAACATCACATAATTTGTGATCAACTTTTTTGTGTTGAGTGAATGTTTGATTCCAATTTTTGTACGTGAGAAACTGCTCATCTGTCAACCATGGTGTAATTTTATGTAATATTTGTTTTTAAGGAAAGAATACTTTTAATGTAAAATTTAAATATCGTGCCCGATTATTCAGGAAGTAATTTTTTTACTGACCTAACCTAAGAACTGGCCAGTTGCTTGTATTTGAAAGTTTGTTTAAATAACTATTTTGTATGAAGCAAAAAAATGGATACGTGTCGGAATGCCACATTTTTTATTTCAATATTAATGAAGGTATTGCTATTGCCCTTCAAAAACTGACATAAGCCCTGTCATGCATATTTTTAAAGGTTTTGAAGACTCCCAATGGAGATAGTTCCATTGTCGTCATTTCCCGAACAAAAGAGCGTAACTCAATTCCAAGGTTGCAAAATTGACTCTAACAATTTAAATTTTTACAGGAATGTACCGGCGCAATTTTTGTTAACCTTTTGCCTTTCTTTTTGCATGGGATAAGAGGAAAAATCAGAAATTTTTTCAGTTGAAAAAGCCAAAGATTCTCCTTGTAAAATGAGATTTGCAAGAGGGAATTTGGCAACATTGAAATGGAGTTACGTTCTTTTGTGAGGGAAACGACGGATTGTGTGTATTCTGTCGTGCCTTAAGGAAAAACGCCGTATGGGCATTCGAATGTTGCCAAATTTCCTCTAAGAAAATTTTTATTTTTTCAAAAAGTTATCACTATTTTTTCCTCGCAACTTTTAGACCCTTTAGATCAAATTGCGAACAAGATTCTCTGAAAAATTGAATGAAAAATATGTATCAGAGTTGCCACAGTCAGGGAATACCGAGAAAACCGAGAAATGTCAGGGAATTTTTAAAAAACAGGGAAAACCTGGAAATGTCAGGGAAAATGACAAAAAATGTTAGGGAAAAGTCCTATAGTCCCCATTTTTTTGCTTACTAAGAAAGGTCTGACATTTCGAACAACCAATTTGCCTGAAAACTATCATGTAATTATGTCGTTTTCACCATCTGGCATATCTTCAATTGTCAGGGAATTTCACCAAAATGTGTCACGGAAATCAGGGAAATGTCAGGGAATTTCATCTTCTGAATGCTGTGGCAATCCTGATTTACACATTTTTTCTAAGATTTGTGATTTGTCGAGGGAAATTTGGCAACATCTGAAGGCTCATAAGGCGTTCTTCTTTAGCACGATAGTATTCTCCTAAATGGAAGAAATGCTCCATATTCTCTTTCGATCCGTCAACCTTGACCCGTGTCGCGAGAAAAATGCATCTCGCACATGAAATGTCTCTGAGGGAACTGGATCAAGGCCACTCCGTGCTCGAGAGTTCATGATTCTCAATTCGTGTCTGCGATTACATCCGATCCTACACCAGTCACCGTCCATCTAGTCATCGCAGGGCACGACCGATGAGAGAAGGAATATCTGTAGATCACCTCACGTTTTTGTTTTCTCAGTTTTTTCTTCTTCGTCGAAGATCTGTATTTTTTCTCTCTTGGTAATTTTTGAGACGGCGAGTTTTTACTTTCTCCCCTTCTTCTTCTCGTAGAAATTGATTCTGTTTGGATTTTGACTTCGAATTCGTCGCTCTTGTCGTGAAATCGTGCTTCGATGCTTGGAGCTCGTAAACGAAAATCTTAAAAATATTTCAAATCACTGAAAAAAGTTCCGCAATCTCTTTTCAGCAAAAAATATTCTCCTGGAAATGAAATTTTGTATTTAAATATAAGTTAGCTCCTTTTTGCCCCAGGAAATTTTCTCTAAACCATACTGACCTTTTTCTTCTTTATTTTCAGAAAGCTGGAAACATGTTTTCTTAACTATTGTTTTCGTTCACCACAGGTTTTCAATCTTACTGTATTGATATGAATCAAAATCTAGATGATAGATATCGATTGCTGAAGTGCGACACCATGTATCTTTATAGCTGTGTTTCAAAATCGCCATAGCTTGAAATTTCCACGGGATATTCTGATAATGAAGGACAAAAATCAAGGAAGTTTTCAAGAAATTAAGTTGCCTAGATCTCCAATCACAAAATAAATTTTGACAGGAAATCTGCAAAGTCGCAAACGGAGTTACGTGGTTTCGCACCTTGACGAGAAGGAAAGTATTCTTGCAGTTGAAATCCATAGTTAGAATGGTGATTGATCAACATGCCACGTGTCATTTAAGTAAAACATGCACATTTGGGGATAGTGGTCGTTTCAAAGCACAAAAATCTACGACGTAACCCGTTATGATATGGATGCTAATATCGTAGCGTTTTATACATACAGGGTGCGGCAAAAGTCCCGGGACGGCTGTTTATTTTTTAAACGGCTACACGTAGAAAAACGAATTTTGGGGGATGTTCTTGGGTCCAAGTAAGCTACTTTTTGGCACTCCCCAAAATTTGTTTGGGGGCCCCCCTAGAGGAGGGCGGGGGGCAACTTTTTTTTTTCAAATGGGAACCCCCCCCTTTGTGATACCTCATTCGAAAGATAATAAAAAAAGAAAATTTTTGGCGCAAACCGCAGGTCAAAATGTTCATTTTTGACAAAATGGCGGCCGGTCAAAGTTCAAAGTGGCGGAAATTTGGCATCTCCGTTGTTTATTGACGGATTGATGTGAAACTCGGAATCCTAGGGTTTTTCGAGATGAGAAAAACGATTCTGGTATTGGTTTTCCAGAAAAGTCAGTCCTTTTCAAAATGGCGGCGGTCAAAATGGCGGCCTCGAGCGGGAAGTGGATATTTAGGTTGCATATCGTTGGATTTGCATGAAACTTGGTATCTGGGGGTATTTCGGCACGAGAAGAACGAATCTTTCATTGGATATCTGAAATTTTGACAAATTCCAAAATGGCGGCGGAAAAATTGCGGGAAATCAGTTTTACGGCTGTTTACCGATGGATTAGCATGAAATTATTTGATATTTCAAGAATCTAATGAAAGATTCCTTTTTAACGAGCCAAAAACCGCCAGGATATCGAATTTCATGCAAATCCATCGGTAAAGAGCCGTAAAAGTGATTTCCCGCAATTTTTCCGCCGCCATTTTGGAATTTGTCAAAATTTCAGATATCCAATGAAAGATTCGTTCTCCTCGTGCCGAAATACCCCCAGAAACCAAGTTTCATGCAAATCCAACGATATGCAACCTAAATATCCACTTCCCGCTCGAGGCCGCCATTTTGAAAAGGACTGACTTTTCTGGAAAACCAATACCAGAATCGTTTTTCTCATCTCGAAAAACCCTAGGATTCCGAGTTTCACATCAATCCGTCAATAAACAACGGAGATGCCAAATTTCCGCCACTTTGAACTTTGACCGGCCGCCATTTTGTCAAAAATGAACATTTTGACCTGCGGTTTGCGCCAAAAATTTTCTTTTTTTATTATCTTTCGAATGAGGTATCACAAAGGGGGGGGGGTTGCCATTTGAAAAAAAAAATTTGCCCCCCGCCCTCCCCTAGGGGGGCCCCCAAAAAAATTTTGGGGAGTGCCAAAAAGTAGCTTACTTTGACCCAAGAACATCCCCCAAAATTCGTTTTTCTACGTGTAGCCGTTTAAAAAATAAACAGCCGTCCCGGGACTTTTGCCGCACCCTGTATAATTTGGTAAATTTGCCCGGATTCATGCAATGGACTCACCGTCTGCGTGAAGGTTCACGTGAAAAACGTTTCTGAGATCATGTGTATCCATATGGTGGTGGATCTGCAACAGTCAAACAAAAATAGATGTAGAACATTGTTGTATGAATGTCATAAAAGGTATAATAGGTACTTCCGAAGTAACACATCATGCTATGGCATACAACCTAATTGATGAGGAAACCCATCATTGATATTCTTTTACGTTTTTTGTTGAGCTTGGCAATTGTTTATCGACTTCAGACTTCAAAACGTGTCTGTATTGTCAGTTTTCAAAAATTCGGATGTTTGTGGTCTAAACTGCTTTGGTTCAATCATTCGATGAAGTGGCAGCGTCGTACGTTTGGATTAAGAAATTTGTGAAACTAACAAAAAATACGGATTTCAATTTATGATGTAAAAGATTTCTTATCTCATTTGATTTTTTCAAAGAAAAAGTGATGAATTCTTGGAACTATTGATTTGTTCTCCATATCTTTGATGAAGTTCAAACAAAAAAGTCCACTTGTCTCTCATTAATTAATAAAATAAAATAACAGAGAGATTCTGAAACGTAATTAGGATCGAAATATCTGATTTATAACTTTCACCCTCGGAGTTAGGTAGCCTGCAAAATGTTAAGGACGTTTCACATAACACGCACCATTTACGTTACAGAATGTATCAGGATATTTTTTTTCGTAATTCTAAATATTTATCTACTGAGCGTTCCTTTCTAAACTACTTTTTTCGACTGCACACGGATGACCGTTGTGTTCTTCATCGTGAGGCAGCATATCAAACTGATTTAAGTCCGTGAATCTGCAACCTCTCTACAGTAACACATGAGATCTTATAGCACGTAGGTAAAATACAACTCTTTTTGAGGGGCATCCATTTCAAGTTCACCGAAATGTCATATATTTTTGTACCTTTATCTGTGGTAGAAAAGTCAGACTTAGGAGTTGGAGGATCCGAACATAACACCCCTTAAAAGCTCAGAAAATCACATTTTCTGGGGGGGACTTTCGGCCGATAAGGGTTTCAGACCGCAGTTCCTCAAAGTTCCTTGGGATTCCTGAAAATCCTGGGAAATTGCAGGAGATGATTTATTATTATTCTTTTTTTTTCTCTTTAGGAAAAAAACTAGTCCCCTGGAGTTTCAGACCGCAGTTCAGAACTCCTGAAAATCGCAAAAAATGACATTTTTTGGCGAAGGTGAGTGGATGAAATTCGGTCCATATGGGTCCAGACCGCAGTTTTATTCCTCGACTTTCCTTGAGACTTCTCCCAAGCAGGGCCGGATTTAGGGGGTGGCCACATGGGCCGCGGCCCATGGCGGCAAATTTAGGGAGCGGCAAATTTTGCAATTTTTTTTAAATATAGGTATAAAAAAAATCGGATTCAGAAAAAAAAAAATTACAAATGAGAAAAGCGTCTTTCGGTTTTCGGCGACACAAGAAAACACGCAATTTGGCATGGAGCGACGCGGCGCAGAGAGCAATGAGAATGAGGACTCGAGATGAAAAGGAGAAGTCCTCAGCGCGGCGCGGCGGTTGGCATGTAACACATATTAGCACCTGCAAGACTGCATGAATACTTCACGCATTGCGTCAAATACAGTGCGGTCAGCAGCGCAGCGGTTGACGTGAAACGCATAGCGCCTACCAGACTTCATGAACACTTCACGCATTGCGTTTAACACAGTATGCGTTCAGGAGCGGTCGGCGTGAAATGCATAGCGCCTACAAGACTGTAGGAATACTTCACGCATTGCGTCAAACACAGTGCGGTCAGCGCGGCGCCACGGCGAAGGTCAAAATTATTATTAAACCACATTTATGTTTGCATAATTTTTACGTCTATTTCTTACAAATGGAAGGCCTTGTTTACACAGAGATAGGTTTACGGAACTTAACTTTCGCGCAAAGTTCCGTGAACTTTTGCCAGTAGTGTTGACAGAGCTTTCGCAAAAAATGTGTGCAACACGAGTAAACGCGTTTTATGCACCCCTCCCCCCCCTCCGGCACGTTCACTTGATGGTTTTTATTGATTTCAAAATGAATGAGAAGGGGGCGCCAAAACACAGGCGGCCCATGGGCGGCAAGTAGGTAAATCCGGCCCTGCTCCAAGTCCAAAAAACCGGTAACACACTAATGGCCTTTGAATAAAAATGGCCATTTAAAACGGCCAAAGCTAAATTGATGTCTGTGGAGGAAACAGTATTATTCAGTCCTAAACTTGCTGTTTCACATGGTTTTAATCGAATTTCGTCAATACCTAAAGTCAAATGTGCTAATTTAACACGGCCTTAATAACCCCCTCCCCGTATGTCTCTTAAGTGCAATGCACAGTTTAAGAGAGTTCCTGTTTGAACATATATGATTCTAAGTTCAATTTGGCACACAAGTTAAAGAGAGACAAAAATAATTTTTTCCTGGCTTTCATCTACGAGTAGCATCGCGTTGTGAACAATTGCAGCGGATTCAAGGTTATCAACCTCATTAGGCTTTCATCTCCTCTACGGACAAAAATCAGCCTCGGAGACGAATTACGCTATTCTTGATGTTCTCCGAAATGTCTTTCTCTGTCGAGATAATGCTCAAGAAGCGCTTTGAAAAAGTAAAATGCACTGTTTGAAATTGTAGATTGGGTCTGTTGCACACAGGAGATACAACCATGTGAATAGACTAGGTAAAATCACACAAAAATTCTGATTGGCACATAATAAACCATTAACTTCTATCTCTTGCGCGTAATTTGTAACACGGTTTTTCAAATTCCCTGCAGATTTTCCAGTCGCTGGTGACCAGATTAGCTGGAAAATAATGTATTAAAACTTGCTGTAAAAAACAATAGCGTCACAAAATTTTTCTCGCGAATAGTTGCAACCGTTTTTGAGCGGTTTCTCCTCCATCTTATTATTGCTATGCGTTACGAAGAAAAAAAAAGCTTAAAATCAATAGAAATCATACTTGAGGAAAGTTGAAAACAGTTCGTAAGATTATTTCTTCATTTGGTATTGGTTTTCTTGTGTCTCTCTTTGGGCAAACATGATTGCTGGCTATTAAGAAAAACTGCCCGAAGACGTAGTAGATAATTTGGAAAAACGTTTTACAAACGATTCAGATCGCGCGCTGAAAAGTTGATTTCAGACTTTTCCAATTTGTCCGGTATGATTTTTGTGCGACCTTATTTACAAAAATTCTATTTACTGGCTGCAAACCTTGCGTATACAACTGATCCGTTATGAATTTAATCGTAAAAATGAGAGTGAATACTGAATTGTACCCCATAGCTTTTCACGACTTTTTTAAGGTTGCCAGTAATAATATCCGGATAAGATAATTAAATTTTATAATGTAATACATTGCTTTTCCGATGTGAATACTAAGTTCAAACTGACAGAAGACCATGAACCTATAATTCTTAATTTTTGCCATGTATGCGGATATTTACTTTAAGTAAGTAGAAGATAGTGACTTTAGTTCCGTCACGAAAGTCGAGCCCCGATCCCTTTTAATTCATGAATAATTTATATTGATAGCCGATTCATGACATGACCTGCGCAGTAAATTTAATTAATTCAACTTCAACTGAAATGAAATTAAGCAACGTAACCCACGCATTACGTAATTTATGCGGACAAATCCCTTCCCTCGACAGATAGTGTCAGTTGTTACCTTTGTTTCATACTCGGGTTTTTCGCCACTAAAACAAATGTTGTCGCGGAAATGGTTTTTGAAAGGTATGGTCAGCGCATATAATGAATGGAGGTCACGTATACTATTGCAATCAACGGAGTCATTTCGTCAGGAGGAATTAAATAAAATGGAAAAAATTAGTCAGCTCAGTTAGAACAAATCAATTTTAGTTCTTATCAATCTTTTTATGGAATGGTGCAGTCTCGACTTTTTTTTGGAGGTTGTTGGGTCATTAAAAAAGTCATTAATCCATGTATAAAACGAGAACGATAATTTGCATTTTTGATTAGTTTTTAAGTAATGGAGCAGTTGCTGCAGGCACAGCAGTTGTCAAGTTGCAATGAAATTCTAGAATGCAGGATGAAAGTATTCATCTTAACCTCCCACTCTGGGGAAAGAGACTTTAATACCGAAAACTGAGAAACAAACTGTTTGTCCCATTACTGAAAGAAATATATAATGAACAAGCAGGAAGCTCCAACGCATTCGCGTCGGAAAGCGGCTCTGGCGACGGTAGGTAGTTGTTACGCGTTTACGGTTTCCTTGGTAACCTTTGTTTGCTATCAGCTGATGTCGAGTAGTATGACTAGGAAGCTCCAACCACGGCATTCTTCGAAAAAGCGCGAAAACTTATAGATTTGAATTTTCAAATTTTAAACGTAAAGCACATTTTTTCCAGTGCGAGATTAAAGCACAGACCCGTTTTGAATTATTGACAGTATCACCATGATTCCAAAAATACACTACACAACATAGCATTCGCTCACAGGAAAAAGATATCAATTAAAATAAAATCAGTCCCCCCTAAACAGCAGAAAATGGCGCCGATTCCCATCAACCAACGCGCGGTCTCTCCAATGTAACATGGTCCGTTGATACTCCCCAGCTGGGACCGTCCGGAATAGCAGCTCTAGTGCAAGCACCAGAGCCGCTAAAATAAATAATAAAAACGAACACACCTAAAGGAGTTATGCAAGTCTACACTGCTAGCAATTCAATGAATGTGGTAATGAGAAAAAGCGCTCGGAAAATGTTCGACCATTTCTGGAGAACTCGGATGAAATTCATAAACCTCTCACTCTGTAGCGTCGGCACAAAAGTTAATGAATACCTTTGTAGCTTATTCTTAAAGATCGTAAACTTGTAAGAGTGAAAGGCATTTTGCCGTACATTAATAATCGAATATCTCAAATTCAACGTAACAAAACAAGAAAAATTTCATGAAATCGCCAAATAAATGATTTTATGAGGACGATTTAATATTTAGTCTGCTCCTACATTTCTATTCTGCGTTAAAGTCTTCAACGGAATCATATTTGTACATGCACGTCCACAACCAGCACTCTTACTTTAACAAGTATTTGCAAAATGCCAAAATTAG